CAGATATCTTATGAATCCGGCACCTTCCCAGAAAACTGGAAATTTGCTCATGTACAGCCCATCCCAAAAAAAGGATCTAAAACCGACCCTTACAACTACAGGCCTATAGCTCTGCTTTCTGTTATAAGTAAAGTGATGGAGAGGTGCATAAATCGCGAGCTTCTGGACTACCTCGAACGTCACAGCTTGATTAGCGACAGGCAGTACGGTTTCCGGCACCAACGATCCACAGGGGACCTCCTAGCTTACGTCACGCAACTGTGGAGTAAACTCATCCAGTCTCATGGTGAGGCTCATGTCGTTGCTCTTGATATCAAGAAAGCGTTTGATCAGCTGTGGCAGGCTGTCCTTTTATGCAAGCTTACATCGTATGGCCTGCCAAAGATGCTTTGCAGATGGGTGGCTCTTCATCCCACAATGTCAACGCGGGTGTTTTCGATGGACGGTCGAGTTCTACTAAAGAGCCATTCATTTCTGCTGGTCGGAGTCCAGATCACCGAGGACCTGATCTGGCACGAACACATCTCTTCAATAGCTGCAGCTGCTGGGAAAAAGCTAGGCTATTTGTTTAGGGCTAAGAAGTACTTTTCTCCGCATGACCTTCTCACTCTATACAAGGCCCAGATAAGGCCTAGCCTCGAGTATTTGGGGTGCTGCCGCCCCGACTACATTGTCCATGCTCGATGCTGTCCAGAGGAGGGCGGTCCGACTGATCGATGACTCTTCTCTAACAGACAGTCTCGGGACTCTCTCGCACCGGCGGGCCGTCGGCGATCTAGCTCTTTTCTATCGCTACACCAACGGGCTTTGCTCCTCAGAGCTCTCTTCCATGATGCCGCTGCGCGATGCGCCTGCCAGACAGACCCGCCTGACTTCGGCATCCCATCCTAACCGTGTCAAACTTCGTACATCCAGAACTGGCCGATACGACCGCTCCTTTGTCCCGAGGGTGTCTAGATTGTGGAACAATCTACGGGAGGAAGCTTTTCCCAGTTCTACTAACCTTAGGCAGTTCAAAAATCGTATTAACAAAATTTCTTTGGGATCATCATAGCAGCCGCGGTGTTCCGGCATTTAGGCTTCTGCCTGCGCGGCTGTTTCGATATAAAAAAAAAAAAAAATCTAGCACTAAAACCGAAAACTAAATAAGAATATTTTAACTGTACAATGATGTTTGTTTTCGTACTGATATTCTTGTCACTGTCAACAAAAAATAACAAAACAAGTTTTTATCGCTGTTGCTGTTACTACAGCAGGGAATTACCGGCGCCCAGCGGCCATCTCGACATTTTCGTTTGTCAATTTTACTCTAAAATATGGTATCCATGCATCAGTTTTATTACCTCAAGTTTTATTTTTTTTAATTCATCCATTCAAAAAATCAAAGGGACGGACATTAAATAAAAGCACAGTATAAAAATAAACCTTTGCCACAGGAGATCCTGCCACTTTGAAATATTGCGTTTTTATTGTGATTTAATCCGATGTCGTTGAGTCTTGTTTGGGAAAATAAATCGTTTTCCTTCTCATACTCTCTCCTACCTATATTATCAGATCTGGCCGTAAAAGTGGAATTAACCGATTAGCGTCCGACCCTGTATGTAGCTAAAAGGAACGTTTCAGAGAGCGCAGTCGTAATTTGAGATGTAGGTATCGGACTGCGGTGGATAGTAAAATATATGAGCCTGTTCCATTTCGGCCCGGCTCTCGTGAAAAGTGCTTACCGTTGTCCTGCATCCATGGTTCATTTCAGATGGTGACGTTTATACGAAAAATCCCACTCGTTAAGATTATCAGCCGACGGCGATGGCCAAGGATGGGGGATAGAGACAAGGGGGAACGTGAAAGACACATACGGGCTTTATTCCTTCAATTGGGCCATTGATTATCCATTCGGTGAACAAATGAAGGAGGATTTTGTTTGCATTTACTCGGTTACCCAGAAAATCTACCAGGATAAAGCCAAACAACTGTTTCAAACTGTAGTAGCACAAAGCGCTATTTCTGTTCGAGCTCAATGCTATTATCGGAAATTAAAAAACTGCGTAGTAGGTTCAGTCCGCATTAATTCACAAAATATCATCTTGTGTACAACTTAGCTCCTCTTAGAAAAAAATGGTGTCAATTAAGTTGACTCTGTACGTCACACAACTTTTTTGGACAAATGGACGTTGGATATTCAGCATACAAGGTCTGTGAATTAAGTGATGATACTGGCAACGTAGCGTTCGATATGGCAACACTGGGGCGTCGAGCTTGGAGGGGAGACAGCGGAACATGTAATCCACCATCAATACAAGTTTGAATTTGTTCTAATCATTTAGTTGCGATTTTTTATATTGTGCTCTAAAAATGAGTGATCCATTTCAAGCTACAGTGTGCTACGAGATTTTGCTTCAAACTTCGGCACAGTGCAACGGAAACTCTTGATAAGCAGACCTACGGACATAGTGTTTTGTCAAGGGTCAAGGTTTTTCAGTGATTTAAGGCATTTTCAGAAGAGAGAGTCTACTGAAGATGAACCACGAAGCGGAAGGCCTACATATTCAAGAATCGATGAAGATATCGAAGAATCCGGCGTCTTGTGCGTTTCTATCGTCGGTTGACCGTCAGAATGGGAAGCGTTAAATTTGAGTCACACCACCGTTCATCAGATCAAGAACAACTGGAGTAAAATAACCTTCTCCAGTGCTATGTGGCTTCAGAAGGAAGGAATACAATACAAAATTGTAATTATATTCGAATAAATTCACTTAATTTGCAGACCTTGCACAACAGCTGAGTCGCAAGGGGACAAATAAAGCCTAAACATGTAATTTAAAAATTTTTAAATCAATTTCACTTCACATATACTAAGTGACATATAAATCCGAACACCCAGTTTAAATGGTTTTATTTTAATAAAATTTTGTATAAGTACTTAATGAAGCATAATAAGTAAATGATAAAAATTTCAAAATGATTGCACTGCTTTAAAGCCCTTTGACCTTTAATAATGTGTGGATGCACCCTGATGTGCTACGCATTCTCCAACGCGCCTAGGCATGCTTCTGATCAGGTGGTCAATGTCCTCCTGTGGTATCTCATTCCAGGCAACCACCAACTCCTCTCGAAGTGCTTCTAGAGTCTGAGGAGGACGTTGCAAATTGAGCAATCTCCTACCCATCATATCCCACACGTGCTCAACTGGGGATAAGTCGGGAGATCTTGGTGGCCATGGTAACAATGTGACATCATGATGTTGAAAGAAGTCTATTGTGACTCTTGCAACATGTGGTCGGGCATGATATTGTTGGAAAGTTGGATCTACCAGGGTGTCAAGATAGGGTAAAAGATGGGGTTCTAGAACTTCGTGGATATAACGCTGCGCGTTCATGTTACCTCTGATGAAGATTAAAGGTGACCTGGAACCATAAGCTATAGCACCCCTAACCATAACTCCAACAGTGTGATGAACATGTCTTTCAACAAAAAATTGTGGATTCCTCCTTTCACCACGTCGCCTTCTAACCCTGGCACGACCATCGTGCATGCCTAAACAAAATCGAGACTCGTCACTAAAGACAATACTGTTCCATTCCTGATCCCAGAGTGACCGTTGTCTGCACCACTCAAGGCGATTACGTCGGTGTTCTCGAGTTAAAGGGAGGACCCAGTGTGGCCGGTATGAAAACAAACCAAAACTTCTCATTCGTCGGTAAACACTTCGCATGCCAATAGGTATTCCGTGTTCTGCAAACCATTCATTTGCAATGGACCTGGTAGTGGAGAAACGGTCCCTTAAGGCCAATAATCTTAGGCGGCGATCTTCACGGTCTGTTGTTCTACGGCGGCGTCCAGTGCCCCTTGCTCTTTGCGTACGGCCTTCTCGAAGCCATGCCTGACAACACCTAACCACAGTGTCTACACTTCTTTGCACTCTAACTGCAATTGTCCGAAAAGAAAGTCCAGCTTCCCGAAGTCCCACTATACGGCCCCTATCAAACTCACTAAGTTGACGAAATCGTATAGGTCTCCGTACTCTAGGCATCGTAACCGATCGTAAAGGATGTCAAGAACCAAAATCCGCCAACGTTGATTCTTTACTGCGGCTGAAATATTCATTTTTAGAGCGTTAGTGAATTAGAAAAAAGCAGTATAAAAACCGGAATGTCCAACTGATAAGTCTGAACATTTTTTCACTTGTTATTTACAGTATGATAAATACATTCACCAACTTTTATTAAAATAAAACCATTTAAACTGGGTGTTCGGATTTATATGTCACTTAGTATATTTATTGTAAAAATTGAAAAAGAAAAACCAGAATTTGAATTTATCTGTTATATGACAGTACATTGTACGGCACATTAACGTTACATCATTTTATGACAGACTAAACCAATCGCTAATTTCAGTAAATATCGATATACGAGAGCCACTTTAGTCTAAACTTGAGAGGAACCGGTCAGATTTTGATAAGATTTTTACAGCTTTTGTATCTCGTCGTCAAGAAACGCTGCATCTTAAACCGATTCGTAACTGCTTCTTTCAACATGTCACCATTTACCATGCGCTCTCCACCAAGAAATTCCTCAAGTCTTGTAAAAACACGAAAGTCTGAAAGTACTAAGTCAAGGCTGTGACATATAGTGTATGATCCAGTGTGATTCCCAACAAAACTACGGCCACAATCTACAAGGTTACTGAGTAATATGGCGACAAACAAAGTAGTATAACCACGCAACCAACACCGACAGAAGCGTGAAACGTAATGGCGGCATAGTGAAAGGCTGGCCAAGAGTGTTTGAGGTTGACCGGATATCGCGTGACCGGAAGTGCACACACGATGTGCAATCGACTCATACTTTAATAATGGCCTCATAGTTGTCCTATGGTTGGACTAGTAAGGTAAAATTTTGAAGTCAGCTTAGTTCTTGAAAAAGAAATTGACCTGAACTTGTACTGTTGAATTCATTATTTTCGATAAACTATTTAACAGTAGAATGAATAGGACTTACCAGTGTCTCGTGACCAAGTATTCATAGCTTTCGGAGAAGCTTCTAAGTAGCATTGCACATGAACGTCACTAGTTATTGGTGCCGCAACAAGTTGATTCAATACACGTATCAGCGGATGAACTGAAAAACATTATAATATTAAGTGACTGTAAAAAAATTACGCAGTAATAATGAATTTATTACAACAATTTTTTGTTTACATGTCTCTTATGGTTAAGCAAGTACCTAATCAAATTTTCAGAAGAATCCAACCATCTATGTTAGTTAACCTGTGTGATGACTCTTGGCGTCAAAATTATACTTCGAAGTTGAATCATTTATTTTAACAGTGAGTAGATCTGATCAAAAGAAATGTTTTTTTCCTTTAACATTTTTCTGGTAAAATTAAAGTAACAAAGTTATAGCCCTTTAGAAGTTTGAGTACCGCCCTGTCTCAATAATAATATTATGTGCTCGTGTTTGGCAACAACGGATATAATCCGCCTTATCCGTTCATAGCATCGGAAACAAAAAAGCGAAAGAATTTGAAACGATGTTTTTACTACAATGTACAATTTTATTCAGTTGTATTGAGTCAATGTGTCAGTCGCGTGAGTGAATAGTGGTGTTTGTTGCGTGGCTCAAACGAAATAAAAAATGGCACATGTTTACGAAAATGCTGAATGTAGTACAAAGGGCTCGTGAATCAGGTGACTTAAGACCTCACAGACCGCACGATCAAATACAGGTCCGCACTGAAATACTTGTCGGGAGGATACTTTATAAAACAAGGTAACATTTTTTTTAATTTTTTTTTTACTTTTACACACATATTTTGGTTTATCTTCCGTCTACAATCATTATCTGAAAATTAATGATTCAACTTCAAAGTCAATGACAATAGAAGTGTTACACCCAGAAAAAATAATTTCAACTTTTTTTGGAAATGCGGTAGACATCAAGAATGAAACGATAACATTCTCACGAAATTTTATTGGCAAGTAATAAGAAAAAAAATTAATAATGTGTTGAGCGACTCCGCAGCTGAATACACTCCTGTATACGTCTAGGCATCAACTGAATGAAGCAACTTGAACTTCATGAATGAGTTGTGGCAGAGTCTGTGGCGGATGGTGTAAAGAAGATAGTCTCCTCCCCATCATATTTATTATAATGTCCATATTCCACGGGTCACGCATGCAAAAAGTTAATCTTAGAAATTTTAGATTTTGTAACCTGGTCAGTAATATATTGAAAACTGCATATGCAATCTTGTGGCTCCTATATTCCAATCCAAGACTCGAAAGGAATTAGTAGACAGTTTGGTTATATCTGAACTACTTTACTGTTTCATCCTATTTCATCCTCGTTCTGACTCCATAACAAAAACCAGATTCCAGAAAATTCAAAATTGTTGTTGTCGTTTTGTTTCTGTTCCTCGCAGGTACATCCGAGTTACGAGATTTGTGAGAGTGTAGTTGAAGCTCAAAGTTGAGTTTGTAATATCAGTTTGAATACACAAAATAATCATCACCAAGAGACGTATGTACCTAGCAAGTAAGTTAGTTCCTCGTAGAAATCTAATTACAAGAAGGTTATCCCATGATAACCAGTTCGATATTAATATTCATTATACTTCTTTGCATCAAAGATCTTTCACGCACAAAGCAGTTTCGTTATACAATTCACTCAGTACGTCTAACATGCAAAAATCTCTACCTGCCTTTAAAAAATCGGTAAGAGATGCAAACATCTCTCAATGCTTGAGTCGTTGTTTTGCCATTCTTTAATTCGTTTATGTTTATAATGTTATTCTTCCCTTTCTGGCTTGCTATTTTTCTAAATATACTAAGTGACATATAAATCCGAACACCCAGTTTAAATGGTTTTATTTTAATAAAAGTTGGTGAATGTATTTATCTTACTGTAAATAACAAGTGAAAAAATTTTCAGCCTTATCAGTTGGGCATTCCGGTTTTTATACTGCTTTTTTTTAATTCACTAACGCTCTAAAAATGAATATTTCAGCCGCAGTAAAGAATCAACGTTGGCGGATTTTCTTTCTTGACATCCTTTACGATCGGTTACGATGCCTAGAGTACGGAGACCTGTACGATTTCGTCAACTTAGTGCGTTTGATAGGGGCCGTATAGTGGGACTTCGGGAAGCTGGACTTTCTTTTCGGGCAATTGCAGTTAGAGTGCAAAGAAGTATGTGTGGTTAGGTGTTGTCAGGCATGGCTTCGAGAAGGCCGTACGCAAAGAGCAAGGGGCACTGGACGCCGCCGTAGAACAACAGACCGTGAAGATCGCCGCCTAAGATTATTGTCCTTAAGGGACCGTTTCTCCACTACCAGGTCCATTGCAAATGAATGGTTTGCAGAACACGGAAGACCTATTGGCATGCGAAGTGTTTACCGACGAATAAGAAGTTTTGGCTTGTTTTAATACCGGCCAAACTGGGTCCTCCCTTTAACTCGAGAACACCGGCGTAATCGCCTTGAGTGGTGCAGACAACGGTCACTCTGGGATCAGGAATGGAACAGTATTGTCTTTAGTGACGAGTCTCGATTTTGTTTAGGCATGCACGATGGTCGTGCCAGGGTTAGGTAGGTAAGGCGACGTGGTGAAAGGAGGAATCCACAGTTTTTTGTTGAAAGACATGTTCATCACACTGTTGGAGTTATGGTTTGGGGTGCTATAGCTTATGGTTCCAGGTCACCTTTAATCTTCGTCAGAGGTAACATGAACGCGCAGCGTTATATCCACGAAGTTCTAGAACCCCGTCTTTTACCCTATCTTGACACCCTGGCAGATCCAACTTTCCAACAAGATAATGCCCGACCACATGTTGCAAGAGTCACAATAGACTTCTTTCAACATAATGATGTCACATTGTTACCATGGCCACCAAGATCTCCCGACTTATCCTCAATTGAGCACGTGTGGGATATGATGGGTAGGAGATTGCTCAATTTGCAACGTACTCCTCAGACTCTAGAAGCACTTCGAGAGGAGTTGGTGGTTGCCTGGAATGAGATACCACAGGAGGACATTGACCACCTGATCAGAAGCATGCCTAGGCGCGTTGGAGAATGCGTAGCACATCAGGGTACATCCACACATTATTAAAGGTCAAAGGGCTTTAAAGCAGTGCAATCATTTTGAAATTTTTATCGTTTACTTATTATGCTTCACTAAGTACTTGTACAAAATTTTATTAAAATCAAACCATTTAAACTGGGTGTTCGGATTTATATGTCACTTAGTATAGTATACTTCCATGAGTGTTCTATTATTGTTTTATGTTGGATGTATAAAGTTTTTGTTAAGTTTCGTCAATATTGTGATTACGTGTCAAGCTAAACTTCGCCATGATGTGGAAGATTACCAATAAAGTCACCTTATCATTACTTTACGAATAGAAGGAATTTTCAAAATATAAAATTTTCCACGCCTAGTAGAATGAACAATTCGCAATGTTAATTACAACTACTGCTTCTCATTGGTCAGAAAGCATGAAACGGGTGGACGAGAATTCAGCTAATCAAATTAATGTCATTTTTATTGTCTACAGGGTGTTTCCCAACTTATCCGACAAATTTTAACTACGTATGCACTGATACGAAAGAAGTTGATTACTAAAAAAATGTAATAAAAGTCCTACAGAAATTAAGTGATAAACCTGAGCTTAAATAACAATCTGTGTTTATCGTCTTGATATTAGAACACGCATTAATAATTTATTGTAGCAAATGTTGGACCAAACAACAGACGAAAACAAAATACCAGGAAGTTTTGTTTTTTTCAAACTGATAAGAACGTGTAAATAAGGTTTAATCTGTGTCTGAGTGATCTGAATGAATAACGGCCGATTTTTGTGAGGTAAAATAAAAAAGTATTTTGCGAGTTTATGTTTTTAGTTATTTATTAATAAAAATGGCACATGTGTACACTAATGAGGAGATACACTTAGTTTAATTGTTTTACGTGCACGTGCTAGTGGAGATTTGCGCCCCAGACATGGAATGGATGGGGGTTGTATTATCCCACAACGCGTTTTAAATGCCGAAGATGAAATTTTGGATATTGTGGAAGAACATCCGGGAATAAGCACAAGGCAGTTAGCCCAACAGGTCCCAAAAGTATCACATCATATTACATGAGGCCCAACCGTACCCATATCACGTCCAGAGAGTCCAGGCATTCCTACCTACACACTATTCCCTAAGAGTACGATTTTGTGAATGGTTGTTGCAAGAAAATGCTAGAAATGCCCGCTTTACAGCTGATATTTTGGCCACTCGTAATGGGATAACCAATCTTCATAATTCACACGTGTGGTCCTTTGAGAATCCCCACGCAGTGGTCCAGACACACTTCCCGCAGCGTTTTTCTTTACACGTGTGGGCTGTATTGTCGATGAACCTCTAATTGGGCCGTTTATATTGCCAGATCGGATAGATGATCAGCAGTATTTGGAATTTCTTCGTAATGATCTGCCGATCCTTCTTGAAGATGGGGGCCAAGCACGGATGTGATTTCTGCACGATGGGGCACCTCCGCATTTTCGTTTAGAAGTTCGTGATTATTTTTTAAATCAGGTATACTAGATACGCTAAATCGGAAGGGGTGGACCAATTGCATGGCCTCCACATTCTCCCGATCTAAATCCTCCCGGGGATACTTGAAAAACGAGGTATACCGTACTCCAGTTCAGAACATTGAAGAATTGCGTGACCGAATCACAGTGGCTGCCGATAATTTGAACCTTTAGGCACAACAGGAAGGAGGTGTATTTGAATAAGAACACCGAAATTGGAAAAATGAACTGTTAAACTGTATTATTTTATTATCTCGATTTTTATAGGAAATTTATTACATTTCTTTTTGAGAAATCATCTTCTTTCGTAACAGTGCATATGTGGTTAAAATTTGTCGGATAGGTTGTGAAACACCCTGTACACATTAATACAGCATTTAATCTGTAGATGATATTTTATATATATATATATATATATATATATATATATATATATACGTAGTCATGCCATAAGTTCTGTCCCTCGTTTTCAAACAAGTGTAGACCTGTTAATACTTGTCCGATTGTTTACATTGTGGTGTCAGTTGATTAAGCGCTTTTCGGGTAATTACATATACCTCAGTTTGTATTGATCTCTCGAAGCATAACGATGGAGTGGGGCAAGGCAGAGAACCGTATTGCAGTGATAGCTTTACATAAGTGTAATCACAGTGCTAGTCAGATTTTTGAACTCTTACGCGGCCTTCAAATATCGCGTAAATTTGTGTCTAGGACCATTCAGCGGTACAATGAGACGTCCTCTGTTGATGACAGGCCAAGAAGCGGAAGACCTCGTCAAGTAAGGACTCCAGCAGCCATCAAAGCCGTAAAAGCCAGGATTCAAAGGAATCCACTCCGGAAGCAGAAGATCCTATCCAGGGAAATGAAGATTCCTGTCCGGACGATGTCGCGCATCATTAAACAAGACCTAGGGCTAGGGGCTTACCGGAGACGTACGGGCCAGCGACTTACGGCCACCTTGCGACACATCAGGGCGACAAGATCCAAGAAGCTCTTGGAGAGGTACGCAGCTGGGGGAATCCGAAAGATTTTGTTCACGGATGAGAAAATCTTCACCATAGAAGAAAAATTCAACCGACAAAATGACAAAGTGTATGCAAGGAGTTCACAGGAAGCTTCGGAGATCATTCCGAGAGTTGAGAGAGGCCACCACCCTGCGTCAGTCATGGTTTGGTGGGGGGTATCCTACGAAGGGGTCACTCAGCTCCATTTCTGTAAACAGGGCGTGAAAACAAAAGCGGCAAACTATCAGAGCGACATACTGGATCCTATCGTCAAGCCTTTAAGTGGTACATTGTTTGCCAACCAACACTGGGTCTATCAGCAGGATTCCGTCCCCGCTCACAAGGCTAAGAGTACGCAGCGCTGGCTGGAAAGCAATGTGCCAGAGTTCATTGCTGCGGAAGATTGGCCCTCAGGGAGTCCGGACCTCAATCCTTTAGACTACAAGTTGTGGGACCTGCTAGAGCAGTTGGCCTGCTCCAAAGCCCACCGTAATATCGAGTCCCTGAAAGCGGATTTGATCCGATCAGCGGCAGCTATTCCTTTGGAAGCTGTGCGTGCAGTGATAGATGAGTGGCCCGCGAGATTGAAGCAGTGTGTGAAGGCCAAGGGGGGACATTTTGAATAAAACTGTTTGATTATGAATTCTAAAAATGTTGTCGAATAAATAATATCTTTCATATAAATATATCTTATCTTGTTTCATTTTTATCATGAGATTATCATGGGACAGAACTTATGGCACGACTACGTATAGGTGAAAAATTAAAGCTTCCGCCTTTTGTTGGGTACTTCGACAAAATTTAAGCAAAGAGAAATCTTTATTACTTTTATAATTCTCTCTAGCTTTCAATGGACTTTGCCATCATCATCAGGAGCTGCAATTACAATGATAACAGTAGCAACAATAGTGTAAAATGAATTTAAATTGACTTAACTTACAGTTATCTATCTACTGGACGTTTCCCTCATCCTATACGTAAACAACAATTAGCAACATCCTCACATACTACTGTAAGTTAAGTCAATTTAAATTCATTTTACACTATTGTTGCTACTGTTATCATTGTAATTGCAGCTCCTGATGATGATGGCAAAGTCCATTGAAAGCTAGAGAGAATTAAAAAAGTATAAAGAGTCCTCTCTGCTTAAATTTTGTCGAAGTACCCAACAAAAGGCGGAAGCTTTAATTTTTCACCTAACTGGTCTAGACGACAATGACCACGTCTCAAGTTATATATATATATATTTTACAATAAATTTGTATTGTATTATGGATATACTGACTTTACAGTGCATATAATAAAGAAAGAACTTTAAATTCCTTAGGGCCAAAAACCTCCATTTGATGTAGAACTGAAATCTACCACACTGCAGTTTATTTTGCTTTAATTTTAAGACCAAACCTGCATTTGACCCTGGCTTAATATACAGAAATCCCCGATTTTCTGTAAGAGTGCCGGTTTTTCATTCCCTAATAAATACAAATGTAAAATACTTACAATGTACGATGACCGTGAAGCGTTTGCTAACAGAAGGTGGTACCTTATTCATGGCGATACACAAATAAGCACCCATATCGCTGCGCTGTATATTTGTTAGCGTTAGCACCTCACCTTCGTAGGTTCGTAACACTGGAAGACAAAATATGTAAATTAGTTTATTATGCTAATATCTAAAGTACACTTCTATGGTGGAGTTTACTTTCCAACAACTCTATTAACCCCTCGTGCATTTTCGCACACTATCAAAATATATATAAGAGGGAGAAGGGTTTATGATACATGATGAACAAGATGTTACAGCTTTATTTATAATAGTTTAAGAATGATCTCTCGAGTTTTCCTCGAATTTTAAATGTTCAAGGAAGGACTAAGCATTCAACAGTAAGCTGTAACAGATCTTCGGAATTTAAAAAAATCCAAGCGTCTCATAACACTGTTCAACAGCCAAAAAATATCCTAAATAAAATCAACAAAATATTACTATTTTTAATGTGCTAAAACCGGAATGAAACTTATTTTTTCAATATTAGTTCAAGTTTTAGAGATACGGTAATTATATGTGTTCCTGCTGTGACAGTGTTAATATACTGTAATTCACAAGAATGCACGTGCTACATTTTTATATTCGGCAAGGAAAGATGATGTAATCGGCATGATTGTGTTACGTTATACATACGTGTACATTATATTGTTTTATATTAGCCATTTTTTCCTCAGTTAGCTGACAGCGTTCATGCAAGATGTCTCGAAAGTGTGTAAACAATCCAGATCAGTTTTGTTACGTGTGTGGTGATGTGACTTTTGCGTCTCAGAGACGGTCTATTACTCCACTAATAACAAAGGCATATCAGCTTTATTTCGGTTGTAAACTAGGTGATCAAGACAAACAGTGGGCACCCCACATCTGCTGTAATACATGTACTTCAAGTCTGAGGAGCTGATTAAATGGCAAAAAACGGCCTACGCGCTTTGCTGTCCCAATGGTTTGGAGAGAGCCTACAAATCATATTAATGATTGTTACTTTTGCATGGTACCTTGTGTTGGACAAGCCACAGGTATGTCCAAGAAAAAAAATCGGTTATTAACTAAACAAGCATACCATCTGCGATGAGACCTGTGCCACACAGTGAAGAAAATCCTATTCCAAAACCCCCAGAATCCTACACTTGCGAATCAGAAAACGAATCAGATCATGGCGATCGAGTGATTCGTCAGGAAGAAGATATGCCACCAACGTCAAGAGATCCTGATTTTATACCGAGCACGTCATGCCACCAACCGCACAAAATAACACAGTCAGAATTAAATGACCTTGTAAGAGATTTAGAACTTCCAAAATGTAAGGCAGAGTTACTTGGATCAAGACTGCAGCAGTGGAACTTGTTAGAAGACGATGTTTCGCTATGTGTTTTTCGTAAACGCCACAAAGACTTAGAACCATTTTTCAATATGGAGAATAACTTGGTTTTGTGCAGTAAGATTAACGGCTTACTGGCGGCTTTAAATATAAATTATAACAAAGAAGAATGGAGATTGTTTATAGACAGTTCAACATTGAGTTTAAAGGCAGTGTTATTGCATATTGGAAATATTTTACCATCTCTTCCTGGTATGCAGTTCACATAAAAGAATCATATGACAATATGAAGTACCTATTGACATGCATAAAATACGATGAGCACCAATGGCATATTTGTGGCGATTTGAAAGTTGTTGCACTTTTACTTGGGCTGCAGCTAGGCTACACAAAGTTTTGCTGTTTTTTGTGTGAATGGGACAGTCGGGCAAAGGCACTTCATTGCACCAGACAAAACTGGCCTGTTCGTCAATTCCTAGAGCCAGGTTAAAAAAATGTACAGCATATGCCATTAGTAGATTCGAAAAAAATGTTATTACCACCACTGCATATCAAGTTGGGCCTAATGAAAAACTTTGTCAAGGCATTAGATAGAGATGGGTCAGCTTTTCAATACCTGCGTCAGAAATTTCCAAGACTAAGTGAGGCAAAGGTTAAAGAAGGTATTTTTGTTGGGCCACAGATTCGAAATATTTTGAAAGATATACAGTTTGAAAACACTTTAACAGGTATTGAAAAAACTGCTTGGAATGATTTCCGTCTGATGGTCACTAATTTCTTGGGAAATAGAAAAGCTGACAACTATAAAACCCTTGTCAAAAATATGCTGTCATCGTATCAAAAGATGGGCTGTAATATGTATCTTAAGATACATTTCCTACACTCACACCTGGACTTTTTTCCTGACAATTGCGGAGCCGTAAGTGATGAGCACGGCGAACGTTTTCATCAGGATATTTCAACAATGGAAAAAAGGTACCAGGGAAAGTGGAATCCTTCCATGCTTGCAGACTACTGTTGGACTCTTGGTAGAGATGCTCCAGAAACGATCCATAAAAGAACAGCAAAAAGACAGCGCATAGAGTGATTCTTACAAGTATATGAATCTTGTTACTTTTTTTAATATATCCTTAAAAATAAAAAGTTTTTTTTCTGAACCGCAACTAATTTTTTTATTTCATTGTCATTTTTGGATTCAGCGCCCCACAGTTTAAAAGAAGTGCACTTTTCCCACAAGATAGAAAAAACTTAAATTTGTTGTCCAGTGTAATTTGCACGCGTTTCAGTATTTTCCCAATGTTTACGATTATGAAAATTTTGATTTCCAATTTATTGGGAAAGCGCCATTAGTAATATATCTGGAAGAGAATTGTAAGAACTGGAGCTCAGGCTGTTTGATCACCGATTCAGCAAAGTGATCGCCATCTCTGGAGCAGTGTGGCGCTTTCAAAGTAGGCAACACACTTAGCGCTAGCCACAGGTACCTATAGCGTGTTCACATCTCATTTACGCCTCGTCAAAATAAAGATCAGCGCGAGACGTTGAAAGCAAAATGAAGCGTCGCTCGAGTGCCAATGCTTATTTAGAAGAGGAGTAAATGCGGTTTGGATGGTCATCATACATTGTGTGTGCTTACTCCTAAGTAGCCGCACAGGCATTAGCCTAAATGCCTAGACATCGCGGCTGCTATGAGGATCCCAAAGAGATTTTGTTATTCTGATTTTTGAACTGCCTAAGGTTAGTAGAACTGGAAAAAACCTCCTCTTGTAGATTGTTCCACAATCTCGAAACCCCGGGACAAAGGAGCGATCGTATCGCCCAGTTCTGGATGTACGAAGTTCGACACGGTTAGGATGGGACGCTAAAGTCAGGCGGGTCTGTCTGGCAGGCACATCGCGCGGTGGCATCATGGAAGAGAGCTCCAAGGGACAAAGCCCGTTGGTGTAGCGGTAGAAAAGAGCTAGATCGCCGACGAAATAATGAAGTCGGCGCGGCAGCACCACAAATGTGTGAGCAATACTCGAGGCTAGGCCTTATCTGGGCCTTGTATAGAGTGAGAGGGTCATGCGGAGAAAAGTACTTCTTAGCCCTAAACAAATAGCCTAGCTTTTTCCCAGCGGCTGCAGCTATTGACGAGATGTGTTCATGCCAGATCAGGTTCTCGGTGATCTGGACCCCGACCAGCCGAAATGAATGGCTCTTTGACAGAACTCGGCCATCCATCGAAACCGGGTGAGCGCAGGGACGTTTTTTTTCGTCAAAGTACAGTACTGTGTTTTGGAAGCATTGAACTGTACACGATTGTTGCGTGTCCCCAAGCAGTGATAGCCTCCAGGTCTCTTGTCAGAGAGGAAGTCATCGCTAGTCTTCTATTTCCCAACTCAGCGGCAGAGATCGGCTTGTCACTCTGAAGTCCTGCGTGTAGAGTGCTGTCATCAGCGAAGCTGTGGATTGGGTTGATCGTACAGGAAAAGAGATCGTTGAAAAGCTACACAAACATCGCAATTTGACATCGGAAGCTGCAATTGCAGTTCTAATCACGTCACAAGAGTTCCAAATGACAATCACAAAATCGACTCACTTTGTATTAATTCTCTATTATTTGAGGTTTCAACTTCAACGCGGCTTGAAAGTTCTTACTAAAAAATAAAACATCCCCAGACTTGAAAAAGACAACATTGAATCAAATACGCAACAGCATGTATTGCAGGCTTTACTACGTTAAAGTCTTGGATAGGGTATTACTGTTGCATATCATGCTACATTGTAGGATTGCTACAAATCTCTGGAATTTCGTCAACGTGCTGAATGTCAAATCGATCTCTTTGGCTGTCTACAATCTAGAAAATCTCCCGACCAAAAATTTCCCAAGTTTGCGTGGGAAATCATTTACCTCATATCATAGGCGTAGCGTGATGGACAACTTCACGCTCAAAAAGAAAAGGTTTAGCAAGTCCGAACTACTTTTTTTACTTTTACATTAGATAAGAGATAGTAACTGTGACTCTGGAAGCTGTTTAATCTGATACTGACAAATCAAACATGCAGGTCACTTACTTTTGTCGGCATATTAATTTGTGATTACCTATATGATGATATGGGCCAACCGATATAAATCAGCAAGTGAATACGTCTCAGAATTGTTGAATAAGAAAAGAATATATCAAGCAAGGATGCTGGCGCTCTCTTTTTTCACTTTCCCTCACTTTTTTTTTATCCATCTAACTTTTTGTCTCCGCTCTCGCTGTACATATTATTGTAGCTTATGAACGTTTAAGGAGCTGTCCTCGTTCTCTCAATCCCCACAAAATTAATTGAAGTGAATATTTTCTATAAAAATTAACTATGACACAGCTGTTTATGTAAAGGGTTTTTCCCAAGCTGAGCCAATATTTATTACATGAAAAATTACTAGGATTACCTAGTTGCTACGTTGCTTTGCTAAAGGCGATGTATACAGGGTGACTTTGAAGTTGAGTCATTAATTTTCAGATAATGATTGTAGAAGGAGGATAAACCAAAATGTGTGTGTAAAAATAAAAAAAATGTTACCTTGATAAAGTATCCTCCCGACAAGTATTTCAGTACGGACCTGTATTTGATCGTGCGGTCTTGGAGCACCGGCATGCCCTCCCCTGTGAGGTCTTAAGTCACCTGATTCACGAGCCCTTTGGACTACATTAACAAAGGCACGAGGGGTTGGTTGCACTCGATTGAGAAACCGATTCGCACAAATCCGTGATGCCGCGGCAGCATTTTGT